CTGGAAAATTCTGATGACTTGGGGGCAAAGGTTGGGTCCTCCATGTGCTCATTAAACAAAGCTACAGTGACCTCTCTGAATAACCTCTTGGCGCACAACTATACCATTTTCTCTTGCCTTTCCTTCCGAGGGCAGCAACAAATGCTGTAGTGCTGGAGGGACCAGTGAGTCAAGAATGAACCCTCTCACCATGGAAAAATAAAAAAACAGAAAGGTCCATTGAACTGCCTATATCAAAATATTTTTCTCTAGTGGTTAAACTGCAAAATTGCATGGGTATCTGCATCTCACGTGGGGCTTTGCCCCACAGCATTGCAAGGCAGCAGTCAAATAGAGAAAAATAATCTTCCATCAGCTTCCTTCCACCACCAAACTACACACACACACACACACGCAGACATACATACACACCTTTGTACGTACACCTTTAATGTCGTTCACTCCCCTATCCTTGAGTGATCTTGTCCTTGCTCCCACTCCAGCTTCATACCCTTGGCTCTCCTTATAAAAAAAAGAAAAGCTCTCTGATGAACTAACTCAGAAGGAGATCTTAACAATGCTTAAAGCTATTCATATGTGCTCTGAAATAGTGAACAGTAATTTTTTCACAAATACTGTAAAAAAAATATAAATTACTATCTCAGGCATTGAGAATTTGTTTCTTCAAAACAGTTTATTGAAATCCCACTCTGTTCAAGTACTGAAAGACACCGAGGACACCGCAGCGAGCTAAAAGGACAAACTAGCTGGCCCCGCAGAGCTTACGGTCTAAAATGGGATATGGCAATTTATCACAAAACTATTCACTATAAATGAAATAAGAGCTACAAAAGAGAATGTTGATGGTGCTATGGGACTGAATCAGGTAGAATCTGAAAGCCTACCCTAAAATGTGAAGACTGAGACGAAATCTGAAGAAAAGACAGCAGGTAAGTGGATTAAAACGCCTGTAGTCCAAGGACCTGGAAAAAGGCATTTATGGAGAAGTTCAGAGTAGGGAAGAGCCGTGTTGAGACGACAGCTCAGAGACCCAGTCGCGCAAGACCTCCACGGACAGGGTGGTCATGGAGGTTCATCATGCAAACTAAGGCACTTCTGAAAGTGAAATGGGTGTCTACTAGTAACAGTAAGCATAGTTGGGTTACCAGTTACTGAATGACTAGAGACCAGAGCCATCCTATTCACCGGCGGTCCTAAAGTCTTGGGCTTTAGCCTAAAGACAGTGAAGAGGCTCTGAAATCTTTTTAGCAGAAAGGAAATAGATTCAAACTCACATGATACTCTGCCCACACTATGGAGAACGGTGAGGAGGGGGACTAGCGCAGCAGCCACATTAAGGTATAGCAGCCAGGTCTAGGGGGGGCATTAATGGACGGGTGGTGTGGAAGAGAAAAGTAACAAGGATAACCCTAGGCTCCTGTCTTACAGCTGGATACATGGTACTAACATTCATTAAATAGGACACAGAAGAGCAGCAGCTTTAGGCTGAGGTCGTGGGTGGGAAGAGGACGCCTAGTTCTGCTTACAGTCTTACAGAGTCTAGAATGTGTTTGAAAGAAGAAATCATGCAAAAGAAGTTAAAAATAAAACTGTTTCACAGAGGAGAATTCAGAGTTGGTGATATAAATCCCTGAGTCATTTGCATGCCAGTGGTAACTAAGGCAAGCACAGGAGTGTCGCCTAGAAAGAGTTCGCACTGAGGAAGACAGGAGGGGAAGGATGAACCTTTAAGGTACTCCAGCTTGAGGACAGACACTTACAGGAGAATGAAACTGCAAAGAAGGCTGAAAAAGAGTTGCCTAAATGGTATAGTAAGACTAAGAGAGGATGATACTATGGAAGCAGAGGTAAGACAGCAGTTGAGAGAGCAAAAAACAACAGTGATAACAAGTGACATCGATCAAGTAAGGTGAGAGCCAAAAAATGTTATTTAATTTATCAAAATGGAATTTAAGGGCATGGATTTGCTAGCAGATTACCCGTTAGAATCCCACCTCCTTCATTTACTACTTAAGCATTCCAGTATAAGCTACCTAAACTCTCTTTGCCTCAGTCTTCTCATTTGTAAAGTGGAGCTGTTTTGAATAGCACTCATCAAAGTGTGTTCTGTGGACACGAGAGGATTCCAGATATCCTTGCAGGACGTTTGTGAGATCAAAACTCTTTCATAATAACGTTAAGAGATTATCTTCCTTTTTGACTGAGTTGACTTGCAAAAACCAAGGAGGTAGCGCCAAAATGTATTATTATCATTGTATTCTTCTTTACAGTCCACTTGCAGTTAAAAGAAAAGAAAAAAAGTCAATTCCCTATAAGAATGTTATTGATGAACTAGTAAAAACATTAATTTTATTACAGTTTGATCTTTCATATTATATAATGAAATGTGTAAATGCTGCCAAGATCTGCACATCTCAGTAAACCAAAATTTTCTAAATGACTAATGCATAATGTTCCAAAATTCTACATGGGTAAAAATATCCATTTGATGTGCAAAATACTCCAGTGGATTCAAATGTAACAGACTATGAAAAATTTACTGATATGATTTTGGATTCAACATTGAAATAACCTTTAGGTTTTTAAAATAGCCCTCCATTTTCCAACTAGGTATCTAAATGAGGCTAGAACTTCTTCACATGCTTCCTGCAAAACACTGTATCACAACAGATTGAATGCAAAAGAAGATACGAAAGTCTAACTGTCTTCTATTAAGCCAGTTATTAAAAAGATTTGAAAAATATAAAATATTGCCACTTTTTCCAATACATTGCTTTTGTGTTGGTAAATATTTTTATCTTCATAAAAATTTTTACTTATGTTACCTTGCAGTGGTTTTATCATTATTGTTGTTAAACTAATTACTATATGAATATTTCCAGTTGTCATAATTTTATTTAAGAATATGAAAAATGTCAACATATAAAGCCTACATAAACAAATGCTCTTTGAGATATTTGACAATTTTAAGAGTATAAAGTGTCTTTGAGACAAAAAAGTTTGAGAATCCCAAATTTTGAGAATAAAAAGGTAATTCTTATAAAGAATGAATTCATTCTTGTAAAGTATTTAGAACACTGTCTCAAAGCTCTTTACAAGTGTTGATAAATAGACAGATGATAGAAAAATAAATGAGATAGATATACAGATGATACAGAAATAGATGGATAGACGGATGATAGATTAAAAAGATGATTAGCAGGTAAATAAACAAATGATAGATAGGCAGGTAGAGAGACAGACACACAATAACTGGTTAAATTAACTGAACTGTTTCGGGTGAATACTGAGGATGGAAACTGGATTGAAATATATAGAAGAGAGAGGGAGATACTCTGGAAATACAAACATCACCCACAGGCAAAATTATTTTCTGCCTCCTCTTTAATTTGATCCTGTATGAAAATACTGATGTGTTACCCCACTTATCATCACGTAGATGTGCCCTGGTACCTTATATAAAGAGAAACAGGAGAAAAATAACCAATGAAAGAAAAACTAAAGGCTTGATGGAGCAGTGTGATAGAGACAGAAACTTCAATGAGAATTCCATTAGAGAAGTTCGTGCTTCAGAGAAGGAAAAACTGTGAAAAACAGTACATAGACACTTCATTTTAGAATAAAGACTCCTAATCTGATTTTCTCTGTAAGAGAAATCTGCTTCTTCTCTATCCTAAAAGGGTCCTTGAATATGCCTGCTGCTTATAGCTAATAAAGTCACATAGACAAAAAGCCTCTTTTTCATTTCTGTGAGTCAAAGATTGATCTGAAAATCCATCAGAAGATCTTAAAGAAATGTGAAAAGAAGATGGCTCACAGTACATGACAAATGCATTTATGGGGACAATAGGTTGTCTAAATTATGTATTTGGCAGCCTGGAACTTTAATACCCCCCAAGTATTCAAGGAGTAGAGGTGAAGAAAAGGAAAAGGACAGTGGTCCTTAGGTTTTTTGTGGGAAAGAAAGTCATTCCATTATGAATCTAGTGACACATATAGACACTCATCCCAGAAAAATGTACATGGACCCAGTTTTCTAACATACAGTCAGGGGACTATACAGCCTGCATAAAGAACATCCATGGGCTTTCCGAAAGATAATGGATCCCAAGTTAGGAAATGCTAAAATCAGGGAAAGTAATTTAGAAGCAAAAAAGACAGTTTCTAGCAACATTTTCCATTAAATTGCTCTAGATTTCTAACACACCAAAAGCAATCTTCTGAGTGCCTGGCATATAGATGAGGCTTAATAGAGGAATAAAACTGTCTTCATGGAAAGAAGCACTCATCTGGTCCAGCTTCCTTGCTTTACAAAAGAGGAAATTAAAATCTAGAGACACTAGATTTTTTGCTCAGGGTTACAAAATCAGTCAGGGAATTAGCTGACCCTTCTCACATTCTAATCATTTTTCCCCAACTCTCCTGGAAACAAAGAGTTACATCTGCTCAAAGTTAGAATATTAGTGTCCATACACTGTAGGATTCTGAATCTAGGAACGTGCATTACCAAAACTGGAAAACCATGTAGTAAGGTAAGGGAGATGTTTTACCTCAGGAAACTTGAGAACACAATTGAAGAATAAAAGTTGATGAGACACAAACACCAGCAGTTGCATCCACAAATTGTACAAAACATCTTAGGAATGTATTACACATGATAAAGGTGCATACAGGTTAAATCAGTTATTCATAATTGTAATCATAGGATTACAAAATGCCCCTGTATCTACCAAAGTCACAGAAGGAAAAAGATATTATAACAGAAGGGGTAAGGGAGGAGCATTTACTTAACTTATTTACAAACTGTGGATAGTGTTAAGGTAAGTCAAGAAGAGATGGTGCACACCACCACGGCTGGCCATGTGGGAAGTGGTTACACCCTTTAGGACTGCGGAGCAGCCACATAAGGGAAAGCAGGGTGGGGCGGGGGGGTACGTTGCAGGAATAAATGTCACTGCCTCACTGTCCTTTCACCCTCCAATCTCCTGCCAGTGACTTACCTGACCAAACCAGAAGCCAAAAGGCAAAGACATCTACTGATATGGTTCAAAAATGATGATCTCACAGGTCACAGAAGAAGGTGGAGAATGATGGATCTGAAGGGATAAATGGAGAAGACCCAGAAAATCACTGGAGCATACAGTTGGCTTCTTACAAGCTGTAGGAAACTCAGAGCCATTCCTTGAGCACCCACCAAATTCTGTGCACAAGACCGCATTATTTCTAGATCTCGTATCTCTAATGGGAGCCACTAAACAGAGGAAGCAATTGACTCCCATATTCAATATACACTAATGCAACATTAGAAACCACCTTAAACTAATGGGCTATGGAAGAAATACAAGGATTTCATGCTGCGATTCAAAATCTAACTTCACCAGGCAATCCTAAGTGATCAAAAATGCTTGCTAAGGAGCCGTCGCCTGAAGGAAAAATGTTCGGCAATGTAGTATCCAAGAGGCACTCCAGACAGAACTGATGAATAAAGTAACTGATTGAGGAGGGAAGGCAAGACCCAACTCGAGATCATTGCTTGCTACTTCTCAAAAGGTGTTACATGGTTTTTGACCAGCAGCCCTTTGGAAAAGCTTACTTCTGCTTAGGATGCTAAGAGTTCAGAACTAACAAGAGAAAGCCTTTGGAAGCAGCGGACAAAATTATAACACCCAAACCCTGACACTGAGGAAAAAGTCTGCCTTAAAGTACCCAAAGCCTAAGGCAGCCAATAATGCCTGGAATCAAAGATGGAATGCAAGGAGCCACCTGACTGTGCTGGGGCTAAGAAAAGAGGTAAGTCCACTGGGCACGGCCCATATTCCTCTCCCTCCTACCCCTCGCCCATTCTCGGGGTACACAATGATTTGAATTAGGAATGTAACCTTTACTGTTTGAATACCTCTGGTAAGAGGACAAACACTGTCCAAATGTCTCTTTGGACAAAGAGGACAAATATTAGCCTGTCAATGGTTTAAAAACCCGAATGGACACTGAACTCAGTCCTCAGCCTGCCAGCAGTAAGAGGTGCACAAAAGAGGTTTCTATTGCATTTCACTCTGTAGTCCTGACTTTAGTCAAAATAAATTTTGATACTGAAACTGAAGCATAATCCCTCACTGCTATTCTTACTTTAAACTTGAATAACCTCTGTAAATTGTGCAGACAGGTGCTTAATGAAGTCTATATTTATAAAACAGTATTTTTCTTCACAGGACTATGGACTCTAATACATCTCTTCTAATTGGAATCAAGTTTCCTCATCAGGGCTCCTCTGGCCTCGCCTAAGCCATATGTTCAGAGAATATGGAGTCAATCCACTGTGCCAGCTGTGTTCTCATTATGTAAAATGCACCATAGTTTGGATGGCACGGTTGACACAGATCACTCCACTCTGGCAGCAGCAAGCCAACAGAGTGTATGTGTAAACCTGTGAGGTGAAATGGAAGACTGGGAGAGCTGCCGAGGGTGGGGCTATTCAAACGAGTGAATTTTCAGAACCAAGACTACTTCTCATTGTAAATTTAGTTACTTCCCCCAAAATGTAGTAGGGAATGTTATTTTTAACTGACTTGACCATCAGTGGAAAGCACTGGTAATCTTGGAGGGTTATATGTAACTGCATGTAAAGCACAACACAGTCTGCCCAGCTATGTTTAAGGCACAGAAAAAACCAAGGGAAACAATCCTATTACTCTGAGACAGAAACAACTTCTGAAAAACTCTGTGAGTCACATTTTAAAAGATAACTGAAGTAGATCTTATTAACGTTTAAAATGATTTCTTTACACCCTTTCAAAATTATTATGCGTCCCTCCCCCATTGCCATCAGGCTGTGACATGGGACTTCTGTTTCCTGCCTTGCCTTTTGAATTCAGGCAGGGACATGGTGATTTGTTTAGGCCTGTCAAGTGTCTGAACAAAAGTTTTAAGAACCAGCATGTGAGTTGCCAAGTCTCTTTGTTCTGTCTGCAGTAATGTTCTAGATACAGACTGATCCACCAGCCTGTGTCCTAGAGTAAACAGGACAGAACAGAACAGTAACTGATGAGTGACGGATATATTACACAAGGTAGAAATAAGTTTTGTGGTAAACCACTTAGATTTTCAGGTTGTTACCTCAGCCTAATCTAACCAATCCCGCCTGAAGTAATAATGCTTTGAAAAATTCATGTTAATAAGCCCAACTTTTCAATCTTCTTCTCCTCGTTGATGAGATTTTAAATAGCTTGTGTTCTTTACTGTGCTTCCAAATTGGAGGATGGATCCAATCAAAAAGTCTAAAAGAAATTACACCCTCACACTAAAGACATTTAAAATAATTCACCCAGAGAAAATTACATTCAATTGGCTATGATTTTTGTTGTTTATGCTCCTTATACTTCCAAGCAATTTCTTACGAAGCAGCTACAAAATGTTTACAAAATAGCTAAGTATAAGAATAAGATGCCAGTCATCCTTAGTGTCACTTAGTGCC